CTGTGTTATTACTGTGTTATTAATGTGTTATTCCTGTGTTATTACTGAGCTATTCCTGTAATTACAGTGTTATTACTGTGTTATTTCTGTTATTCCTGTTATTACTGAGTTATTCCTGAGTTATTACTGTGTAAATCCTGTATTATTCCTGTGTTAATAATGCGTTATTACTGAATTATTACTGTGGTATTACTGTGTTTTTCCTGTTATTAATGTGTTATTCCTGTGTTATTTCTGTTATTACTGATTTATTCCTGCGTTATTTCTGTGTTATTACTGTGTTATTCCTGTGTTATTACTGAATTATTTCTGTGTTATTCCTTTGTTATATCGGTGTTATTAAAGTGTTATTCTGGTGCAGAGGCGGACAAAGTACTAAAATCTATTAGTTGAGTGAAAGTACAGATACTGCTGGTCAAATATTACTCCATTACAAGTAAAAGTTGTAAAGACAGATTTTTACTTAAGTAAAAGTACAGAAGTACTTGCTTTTAAAAGTACTTATGTACCAAAAGTAAATTCCCTTTTTTATGTCAATGCACTGTTTTATTGTTGTACGAAATACTTGCAATACTTCAATACATTACACCTACTGAATACACCTACTAGCTTGTAGTATCTTTGGAATAAAGAGTTTTTAGAATGTTAAAAACCTATGGGGGGAAAAATGAACACCCCTACCCACCCCCAGAAAAACAGGATGGTAGTGATCTCACACAGCTCTGACAGTGTGTGTGCACACATCTATGTGTAACCATTTGTCCACATTTGAACAGAGTGGACAGTGAAATCCTGTAAATACAGAGTGAGAAGGAATCCCTGAGACTTTGATCTCTTCTCCAGGGTTACGTTTATGGTCGAATTTGATCAATAGTCACAACTGTTCGTTAATAAACATCAAAACTCACGTCTTTTTCTACCGCTCCCTAAAAGTCACACAACACGCAAATCTGTTCAGGGAACGTCCCGTTTTTGGTTTTGGTACTGATCCACGACGCTTGTTTATAGGAAATGACCACGGTATAAACATAACACGACTTCCCAGAATCGGAACGTATATGTTTAACGACAAAGATTTGCATTTTCGTACAAACACGGCACGCAACATTTAACCTTTGTTGCGCGTGGGTGTCACCACAAAAGACAGCTCTAGACCAAAAATAAATAATTTACCGGGAACTGTCGCAAAAATATATATTTCACATTTCATCTTCCGACGACAGCACATTTACTCACCTTACAAGTTTCATTTAAACGCGTAACGTTAACTCCAACGATTGCTTGTGTAGATGAAAATGCAGTTCAGAGGTTATACGAAGAGCTCGTCTTTCAGATTCACACCAATCTACAAAACATTCGCTCTTACAGATCACTCGGGTGATGAACTACACAACTGAGCGAGCATTAGGAGCAGTAATCCGGAAGTAGAGCAAGTAACGGTCAGGACTCCGGTCTTCCTGCCGGCAGAAACGAGAGGATCATCCGTGTAGGATGCTGGGTTTATACAATGGATTGTCTATAAGATCAGTGTATTCGCTCAGATATTGGACGCATGCCATATGTTCTAGCATAGTTTTTTTTATAAGACTCATAATGGTAGACACCATTTATCCATGTGCAGATCTTATGTTAACACATCAAACCTACAAGAAAACCACCACAATACAGATTAATGAAACTAACCACTCCAGTATCTCTTAAATTATAATTACCAGATAACTATACACAACACAAATTAAGGTTTTCACATTTTTATTAAGACATTTATCCATACATCTAACAAGCACATACTGAATTTTGTGTTTTAAAATTACATTTGCACATTAGTAACATGCAGAAGAGCACGTTCCAAACTGTACACCACCAAATGGACTTCTTGGTCTTCTTACATCTGTAAATAATTAAGAAAAAAAAAAGATATAAAAGGTGCACCATATCAAAGCATACATCTAGGCTTCTCATCACTCCAGTCTTTGTACGAATCTATGCCATAAAAGCAATTACAACAACCACATGCTAAAAACAATAGTCATTAACAGGGTATCATACATACACAGGATTATTGGACTGAAACGAACCACAAAGGTGGGGAAAAAAAAAAAAAAAATGAAAAGGTCTCACCTCTTACAAAGCCACACCATCTAACACGCTTACCATCGGTGAAAGCTGATTGAAACACAAAGGAACATTAGTAACAAGCATCGTACCTTAAAATGCCACACACCACAAGTCAAAGTTTCCACATTTTGACCAATACGTTTCCATGTATATTGTAGCAAGTTGCTAAGTGGGATTCAATTTCACACAAAACGGGGCGGGGCTTATTCACCTTATAGAACCACATTAGTATACACCAGTGTTGGGGGTAACACATTACAAATAACGCGAGTTACGTAATCAGCTTACTTTTTCTCAAGTAACTAGTAAATTAACGCATTATTTTAATTTACAAGAGAATATCGGAATTACTTCTTCAAATAAGCAACGCAAGTTCTTACTCCCCCCCCCCCCCCCCCTCT